GACCCCTGTGGGACCCCACTTGTCAAATGCTGCCATTCTGAAAAAGACCTATTCAGGAATATTCTGTTTTCTGCCAGCCAGCCAATTGCCTAGTCAGGCAAGCATGTTACCCTCTGCAGCATGAGTTCTACACTGTAAATGTGGAACCTTGGTCTTTCTGGAAATCCAAGTATACCCCACTTCAATGGACTCCCGTTTATCCACAGCATTTGTTGCTCCTTCAAAGAATCACAATAAATTGGCTAAACAGGACTTCTCTTTCACAATGCTGACTCTTCTTGATTACCTTGAGTTTTTCCCTGTATGCCATCAGTACCTCCTTAATGATTGATTCTAATAGCTTTCCCATGACTGACATCAAGGCTATCGTTTTGTGTGTTCTGCCTCCTCAGAGGGGTTAAATTTGCTGTAAAGAAACCTTTGCAAATTCTAACCAATTTTGGAAAATTAACACAAATGCATCTAGCACCTCATTAACTACCTTTTTTTAAACCCTGCGATGAAGTCCATCAGGACCCAGCGATTTGTCAGCCCACAGCTCCATCACTTTGCTCAGTATCATTTCCTTAGTCATTGCAATTTCACCAAGCTTCTTCCTTCAACCTTCTGATATACAGCTATTATTGCAATGCTTTTTGTATCCTCGAAATTGAAAATAGAAGAAAAGTATTGATTCACGATAAACATCTTTTTTATTATCTAAATAACTCCCCGTCTCACCTTCTAGAGGGCCAACACTCGCTGTACCTACCCTTTACCTTGTACCTGTAGAAATATACGTCTAGAGATTCCAAGAAATGGAAATGTGGATTGCCACTCCCCTCATCCTTTTTCTACAAGGACTGAGCTCCACATTTCTAGCCAGGAATTCTGATCCCAGCTCCTTATCACTAAATAAAGCTGTCAACTCCTTTTATACTGTAACACTCTTTTATTTACATCTGTACATATTGGTACTTCAATACAGCTCTCTAGTGTGGTGTCTATACACATTTGGTCTGGTTTCTTCTCTCTTACTGATGCCAGAATCTCGTGATCAGATCATTATGATTTCCATGAATCTCACTGTACCGCACAAAAGCTGATGAGGAGCGGAGAAAGAAGAGAGAGGAGTTACAGGGTACAGGGAGATAAAGAGGGTGATAATGTGGGAGTGGATGTAGGGAGGTGGGAATGGGAGGGCACTCCTTATTCCTTCACCAGGGCACATTGCACCATTAAGCAGAAAGGCAGACAGCTCAACTCTTGCCCAGCCAACCTGATCCTTGCTTGCCATTCAATCCCCCCAGTGGCAGGGAGCAGAAGCCAAATCCATCATTTTTATCCCTACTTCTCTTGGTGGCTCAATCTGATAATCTTGGGATCAGCCCAATTCCAAACAAATATCCCATCCAATCCGCTGAGCCATCCTTCGCCTGCAGAGTTGATATTTGCTCAGCTATTTCACCAGGAGGTTTATCAGTGGCTGGAGCAGGACCCCCAAGTGATATTTTCCCCACCTTTCATTATAGCACTGGAAACACTGCCCTTGGTATCTTAAGGGTTAAAACTGGGTCCATTTTGCTCTGCTCCTCATTGGTAACATGAGACACCAGGGTAAAGAAAATCTTACATTTCCGAATGGCCTTTCCCTCCCCCAAGACATCTCAAAGTATGTTACAGCCAGTCATTGGGGTATTGTAGGAAATCAGGCCACCAAGTTGTGCAGATAACAAGGTGTAGAGCTGGATGAACACAGCAGGCCAAGCAGCATCATTTCTGAAAAAGGGTCTAGGCCCGAAACGTCAGCTTTCCTGCTCCTCTGATGCTACTTGGCCTGCTGTGTTCATCCAGCTGTACATCTTGTTATCTCAGATTCTCCAGCATCTGCAGTTCCTACTATCTCTGAACCAAGTTGTGCAAGCTGGTTCAGGGACAACTACAGGCTTGGCTACTGGGCAAACTCACCTTGTTCTTTTACAAATTAGTGCAAGGGACTCTATCCACCTGATAGGGCAGAGGGCCTTCAGTTTAATTGTACCTCCAGTAGTGCAGTGTTCCTTCAGGACTGTGCCAGTCTACAATTTGTGGTTAAGTATTCGGGGTGGGACTTGACCTCATGATATCTACCTCAGGGCTGAGATGAACCAAAGTAGCAATAATTGATGAGGGGTGATTTCTGAATACTCTGGTGATCACCAGCTTCTTTTTCTAAGAAGTTAATCGATAAATATGTTGGAGACTTACATCATCCCAGCAGCTGTACATGATGCTGTAGACACTCTCAGAGGCCTGTTGAGGTCGGTACAGCCGGCGACCCTGGAGTATGTGATCTACCACATCAGCATTGCTGAATCTTTCATAAGGCGTTTTCCCCAAAGCAAAGGTCTCCCACATCAGGACCCCTGTGTTGAGGAGCAAAAACGTCAATAAAGACATGACTATTAAAACATTCGAGACACAAAACACACAGGAGCAAGAACAGCCACAGGAAAACTAGTAACACTTAAAGAACCACTTGCATCTGTCCTCATTCAAGTATAGTGTCCTTTCACTTTTACTACAACTCCTGTTTGAACAGATCATGTGCTATCAACAGGCTATTAGCCCATCAGTACCTCTCCACATGAAGCACCCAATCTAATTCCACATTACCCCTCAGTCCTCACATCCTTTAAGAACCCACACAGCATAAATCCACTTCCTGTATCCTTTAATATCCCACCTAGTGTAATCCCATTCTTCCTTCACCTTTGCCAAGGTTGAATTTGAAACCATGTCCTGCAGAGTATTAGGGCCTCTGGATTATTCATCCAGTGATGTTACTACAACGCCAACATTTCTGCCTCTGAGAATGGACTTGTGTCTGCTGCAGTTGTCAGATTTCCTTACTGAAACACGGATGTCTCAGAAAGTTGTTCATGAGAAGGATCAGGTGATTTGTGACCACCCTGGCTAATATGGCAACCTGATGAGGCCTTCCTTCTCCTGCTGACCCTCCCTCTTCCACTGCCTTGCCCTGCTCTCTTTGACCTTTCCTCATTAAAGCAGAAATGCCCAATCTCTCCGTCTATCCCTACCAAAGGCACTTGTGCCAGTCTTAGCTAAGAGCTCACAGTGTTGGCTCCAGAAGAGGTTACATACTCACCAAAGGCCCACACATCAGACTTGCTGCTGAATCGGGCAAAATTGAGAACCTCAGGAGGAGACCATCGCACAGGAAACTTAGAACCTTGTGAACTTGTGTATTCATCATCGAGGACATACCTAATAGAAATCAAATATAGTCTGGGGTTCTGACTTGACCCTCACACATATTTACAGTATAAATAGACCTCAAATAAAGAACCATTTGCAGTTTGATAGGATCTGTTACAATATCAGGATGATTTCAAATGCTTAAAAGCCAATGAGTTGTGTGTGAAATATAGGAAACATGGTAGTCAGTTTACATACAGCAAGTTCCCACAAACAGCAACATGGTAATTTTGCTGTTTCAGTTGAGGGATAAACGTTGGCCAGGATATTAAGGAGAACACTCTAGGTATACTTCAAATAATCCAATGGAATCATTTACATCGACCCAGAAGAGCTAGACATAGTCTCAGTTTGACATTCATCTTAATAAGGATTTCACTGACAGTGCTGCATCCCTCAGTACTATGCTGGAGTTCTAGCTGAGAGCTCCAATCACAGATTTCCTGTAATCCACTATCCCGCAATTATCTCTCCCAGTTTGTGTGTGCAAAGCCTTAACCTAAACCCCTCCCAAAACACTCGAATCCTGCCCACAAATAAATCCCACCCCGTCTACACTAACACATGGACTATTCAAACCCTACCCAACCTCCATTCACATTTGCACCAATCCCCATCCAGATCATTCAAACACTACCCAATCTTACCCCAAACTCCATCATCACCTAGCCCTACTCCCCAGATCCACCCACATTTGAGTCCACACATAAATGAAACCCCACCCAATCCGTGAAACACCTACAAAACCTTACCCCAAACCCTGTCCCACTTCCCTGAGTCAGGATGAGTGACTATGCCAAACTAGAGTAATTGAAGGCGAGTAAGATATTGTCTCAATCTCTTGTAGAGAAGTCTCCGGCTGCTGCAACTGATCATTTCCGAATGATATTAACTGTCTCAGCACCAAGGTCATGATTTATGGAAGAGGACATGACAACTCACCTGCTTAGACCAAAGTCTGATACCTTCACAGTTCCTGCCTCATCAACCAAGCAGTTCCTGGCAGCCTGAGTTAACCAAACAGCAAACATGGTGAGTTAGAAACTTTGACTGTTTCTGCTAGTTTAATCAGTTCCTGCACATGTTTCAGAGTCCTGGACTAGTAATCAAGAGGTTTGTCCTAGTAATCCTGACCTGGTAATTCAGGGGTTTATCCTAGTAATCTTGGTCTAGTAATCCTGAAACCTGACCTGTTATCCAGAGGGAATTCAGTTCAGAATGTAAACTGACCATGAAGCTGTTGGATTGTAAAAACCAAACTTCTTCATTTGGTCCTTCACGGAAAGAAATCTTATCTGACCTATATGTGACTCGGACCTAGTCCAACATGGTTTTCTCATTCTGCTATGTTTAAGGGGAATAGCAGGCCACTGAGATATTTAGAGCTCCTCAGCTGTTTAAATAAAAAGGGCCAGCAGTCAGCCATGATTTTCAGGGATTGTCATTGACGTTGACAGTCTTACCATTGACATCTGAAAATTACCTTTCACTATCTAAATTTGGCTTTAGGAAGCTGAGTTCTTGCTCTGCCTGCCAGCAGTACAGGCTCTCAGCAAGGTGTCCTCGAGGCTGTTGTTCTTCTGAACAGTACACTTCCAGTGTTGTAAATGATACACAATATATCCATTTTTAATTCTTTACCAGCATACCAATCCCTCTGACCAGTAATACCAAATTTATGAACCACTTTAGAACCTTGTATCAACTCAAAGATTTAAAGGGTTGGTTAGTCAAGAGTTAGAATGGTTCGGGGGTGTGGCGGAGTGATTGCTATAATTTATGATGTGATTTTCCCATTAAAGGTCCTGTTTTTTGGGCCTACGGTTGGCAGATTTTGTCTGTAGTTCTGGATTTGTATTAATGGTCATTTGGCCATGTGTCTCCTCACTAGATGTTGTGAGGTAATGAGGTGCCTCTTCAGTGACGGCGAATAGAAGGTGAAGGGTACTCCAATCATTCCATGTCATTGTAAGTGGTCAACATAAAAAGTTGCTGATCTTTATGTCCTTACAAGGTCTCTGTGCAGGAATCGATGTGACTCAAGATATGCCATGGCTTCACACACATCCTTGGTCATCTCCAGCAGTTGTAAGCTGCTCAGCTTTTTCCCTTGTTTCTTCAAGTAATCCAGCAAGCAGCCATTTGACATAAACTCAGTGACGATATAGATCGGTCGTTGTTTCGTGCAAACACCATATAGCTGCACCAACTTGGCATGTTTCAACATCCTAATATAACAAGGGAGGATCAGAGAGAGAGGTCATTCCCCATGTCAGCTGACATTTTTATCCTCGCATATCAAGCTTATTCACACTTTGCAGTGTACAACATTAAACACTCCCGGAACAGATACAGGCATGGTAGTAGATACAGATAAAAGCTCCTTCTACACTGTTCTCATCAAACACTCCCAGGACGGTACAGCACAGGGTTAGATACAGGTAAAAGCTCCCTCTATTCTTTTAATCTGAAAGTAAAGCTCTTACTACACTGTCTCTATCAAATACTTTCAGGACAGGGATAGCATGGGGTTAGATACAGAATAAAGCTGTCTTAATTCTTTTACATTGAAAGTAAATATCTGCCTACACTGTCCCAACATGCACTCTCATGGCAGGGACAGCATGGTTTACGTAACAGAGTAAAGCTTCCTCTACTCTTTTAAACTGAAAGTAAGCTATAATTAAGGCTCCCCTGACACTGTCATCATCAAACACCCCCCAGGACAGGGACAGCATTGGATTAGATACAGAGTAAAGATCTGTGTATTCTTTTAAAATGAAAGTAAAGCTAACTCTACACTGTTTCCGTCACACATTCTAGGAGACAGACTGCATGGGCTAGATACAGAGTAAATCCCTCTTTACTCTTTTAAACTGAAATCACAGTTCCATCCATACAGTCTTCATCAAATATTCCCAGAACAGGAACAGCATGATGCTCGATACGGAATAAAGCTCCCTGTGAAATTTTCCCATCAAACAGTCCTAGGATATGTAGAGAAGAATACAGTAATAATACAGTATATGTATCAAATATTTACAATACTGAATTGGCTGATTGATAGTTAAAGCTTCACATTCTATTGTTTCCCTGATATCATTTACTCACATCATTGTTTCAGCCTCATCAATGAAGTCATCCTCAGACATGGAGCCCTCTTTGATCATTTTGATGGCCACTTCATACTGCCCTCGCCATTTACCATGTTTCACGACACCAAACTGTCCATTTCCTAATTCCCTCAGGAATGTTAGGTCGACAGGATTGATCTCCCAGGCACCTGACAAGAAAGAAAACATTATCAGCCTGGAATCCGGACAGAATGTGCACTGGGAGAGGGAAATCAGGAGAAGATTCTATATGTTAATAGGATAGATTCCATTACACCAAACAAATTATATCCAATATTGGCTTCTTATTCTGAGGGGAGTGCTATTCTGACTTGTATGAACATTGCCTGCTAGTTTCCATATAAAGAGCTGTCTCTTTATATGGTGCATACCGGCATTATTCTCTCCAAGAATATGAGGGGCTCTGTTCTCTAGAGCATTCATAGGACATAACTGAAATTCAACCTCAGAATTTACAAGTTGGATCCAAATACATGGGGGAAAAACAACACTGGACAGACCCAAATGGTCTTGACATGGTCTCTTGACAATTGAAGGAACACAGTCCATTGCCTTCAGGACATTTGGGCATGGTGTAAAGCTAATGTCTTTATCCATCCCTCTAGAACTGCCATTATATTCAGTAATTATAATCTGTTACGAAAATCGAAAATCGAAAATCAAAAATCACTAAAATATCACAAATCTTTTTCGATGCACACTCAAGTGTCAGAACATCAGGCGAATCCATCAAGACAGTATCAACTTTCTCTAATAAAATATACAGGAGCTATTCTCTCCAATACACATAGACTCCTGGCTAAAGTACATAAGAACTGCCATTCTCAACATAATTAACACAAAATTGATATTTTCTAAAATATACACAAAAATAACTATTCGCAGAAACGTATGTTGGGACTTCTGTCATACATAACATACATAGGAGTCTGTACTGGGAAGGCAAAGGCTGTAGTAGTTTTATTGCTAGACTATTAATCCAAAGAACATAAGAACTAGGAGCAGGACAGGCCATCTGGCCCCTCGAGCCTGCCCCGCCATTTAATAAGATCATGGCTGATCTTCTTGAGACTCAGCTCCACTTACGTGCCCACTCACCATAACCCTTAATTCCTTTACTGTTCAAAAATTTATCTAGCCTTGCCTTAAAATTATTCAGCGAGGTAGCTTCAACCATTTCACTGGGCAGGGAATTCCACAGATTCACAACCCTTTGGGTGAAGAAGTTCCTCCTGACCTCAGTCCTACATCTGCTTCCCTTTATTTTGAGGCAATGCCCTCTAGTCCTAGTTTCACCTGCTAGCAGAAATAACCTCCCTGCCTCCACCTTATCTATTCCCTTCATAATCTTATATGTTTCTATAAGATTTCCCCTCATTCTTCTGAATTCCAATGAGTATAATCCCAGTCTACTCAGTCTGTCCTCATAATCCAACCCTCTCAACTCTGGAATCAACCAAGTGAATCTCCTCTGCACCCCCTCCAATGCTAGTATATCTCTTCTCAAGTAAGGAGACCAAAACTGCACACAGTACTCCAGGTGTGGCCTCACCAGGACTCTATACAGCTGCAGCATCGCCTCCCTGTTTTTAAACTCCATCCCTCTAGCAATGGCAGACAAAATTCCATTTGCCTTTTTAATTCCCTGCTGCACCTGCAATCCTACTTTTAGCGATTCATGCACAAGGACACCTAAGTCCCTCTGCACAGCAGCGTGCTGCAATTTTTTACCATTTAAAACATAGTCCATTTTCCTGTTATTCCTACCAAAATGGATGACCTCACACTTATCAACATTGTACTCCATCTGCCAGACCTTTGCCCACTCACTTAGACTATCTATATCCCTCTGCAGACTTTCAGTGTCTTCTGCACACTTTGCTCCACCACTCACCTTAGTGTCATCTGCAAATTTTGACACACCACACTTAGTCCCCAACTCCAAATCATCTATGTAAATTGTAAACAATTGCGGTCCCAACACTGATCCCTGAGGCACACCACTAGCCACTGACCGCCAACCAGAAAAACACCCCTACTCTTTGCTTTCTACTGGTCAACCAATCCTCTATCCATGCCAATACATTACCAGTAATACCGTGGAACTTTATCTTATGTAGCAGCCTTTGGTGTGGCACCTTGTCAAATGCCTTCTGGAAATCCAGATACACCACATCCACAGGTTCCCCATTGCCCACCATGCGAGTAATGTTCTCAAACAAAGACCTGGACAATTCTGAGACCTGAATTCAAATCCAGCACAGTAGAGAGGTGAAATTTGAATTCAATGAAAATCTGAAATTAAGAGTCTAATGATGACCATGAAAACATTGTTCATTGTCAGGGGGAGAAAAACATCTTGTTAACTATTATCTTTTATGGAAAGAAACTGTCGTCTCCTCGTGTCTGCAGTATGCCGTGTCTCTTCCCCTAGTGTCTTCAGCAAGAGACACAGAGGGGAGATCTTCTGTGTACACTGGTCAATAATAATCCTGCAATCATCTTCACAATGAGCTGGTGATCTGGTGATTGTCACATTGCCGTTTGTGGGATCTTGCTGTGTGCAAGTTAACTGTTGTGTTTCCTACATTGCAGCACTGGCCACACTTCCAAAGGACTTGATTGACTGTAAATCTCTTTGGCATGTCCTATGGTTCTGAAAGGTGCTATATAAATGAAGCCTTTCTTTTTTCCTGACTCGATTGCTCCAGCATTGCCTGGGAACACGTTCTGGGTGTGCCAGTGTGCACAGTTTGTGGTTTGTTCATGTGTTATTGCTGGTTTAAATAGAACTATTTATCATTACAACATTGCAGCAACTCAAAGATAGGGGAACTCTGACTGCTGCCATAAGCCTCTGTTGGCTTTCACATTCATTCCTTCTTCGCAAACTACTGAGCTGGCTCAGAAAACCCCTTAGCAAGTTGAATCAGAAACCTCACACAGGAAGGGAGCACTGGGTGACTGCTAGGTTACAGAAGGTCTGAGTGAAAGTGCACAGCACATTAAAAGCTTTGTGACCTTGATCTTGCTTCTGTGTATGAGAGTCTAACTATGCCACATGAGCAGTATTTTTATTTGTAAGTTTTCTGAGGCTTGTCTTATTGATTGGATTTCAGCATACCTTTAAGACAGCCACATGATTCAAAACATGTGATGATGTTCCATAATAAAGATCCTCACTTTCAGTCAATTCTACACATAGAGTTAGTATTGTGTATTTATTCAGTCAGTTTTATACATATATATTTAATGTAACAGTAATAGTAATTTGTAAGTGATAGTGTAAGTAGTTTGTGTTGTTCATAAACCTAAGTATATCTGTCTCACTAAGAGCCCAGATCTTTTAGTACATCTTAGATGAGCTAACATATAGGGCAGCGCACAGTCATATCATACTAGCAGTGATGTTTCACCCAAGAAACTACATCACAGTGGCAGCAAGTGGGCACAAGAAGCTGGTGGCAGATAATAGTGGCGGCTAGTGATGATAAAAGGTGATAGTAGCAGTGGAAGTTGTGAAGAGTTCTTTATCCTAACAGTTATTACTCATTATCCACCTGAGATCAGAACTGAAATTTACAACCATACCCAAATCCAAAGTGCATTCAATCTCTCACAAAGGAGAGGGAGATCATGATGTATCTGATTTAAGAAATGACAGTTTACAAGGGGTCTAGAACAGCTCCAATTCGGCAAAGTGATTTTAGAATGAAGTTCAGCCCAAAACGTGAGAAAAAAATTCTACATATTGTTTAATCATTTGTCAATTCCACTTCATTTTCCTTGTAAATGGCACAAAAACTGGGAAAAAAAGCATCCAATGCTTTACAGGTGCAGACGTCATATACAGGAGGTGCCCAGCTTTTCCTTTCAAAAGAACAAAATATATAAAGAAAAGGAAAGTAACAACCTCTAAAGTACCAACAAAGAAAGAAACAAAAGAGAAGCTAACAAAACAACAAAAGCTTTATACAATGATTAAGATGTTCATACTGACATTTTAAAGAGCATAAGACCACAGACAAATGTGAAAAATAAACACTTGAGCATGGATTGGCACTCTGTTGACAATCTGTCAGAATTTCAATTATTTTAAGAAATAACTGTCACTGAATTATGACAGATTATTAACAAATGATGCCAAGCAGTCAAACTCCTCTTTGCATTGGAAAACAAAGGGTTAAGTAAAGTAAAATCCTTTTGTATTTTAAAAGATGACTGTAAAGATCCAGACAGAATTTTCCAGGTTTCAGAAGATGTAAAGTCAGCAGAAATAAAGGAAATAGAAACACTGGAGAAGATGAATAGGATGAAAAGGAGTAATACCAAGTGCACAAAATTAAACATATCAGGAAAGAATGGACAAATTGGGTCTCTCTTCCATAGAAAAGAAAAGGCTAACTTGTTATAAATAATTAAGATGGTGAAAGGCCTGGTTAAGTACATATAGACAGAATGTCTCCTTTTGGAGGGAAGAGTGTAACTGGAGGCCACTAACAGAAGACAGTCACCAAGAAATCCAACAGGCAATGCAGAAGCTTCTTTCTCAGAGACACATGAGAATGTGGAACTCAGGGAGTGGTTGAAGTGAATAATATCGATGCAGTTAAATGGGAAATCAGACAAATACATGAGGGAGAGGGGATAGAGGGTTACAGTATCAGATTAGTTGAGGAAAGATGCGAGTGAATTGAATGGCCTGTGGATATGCTGTATACTCTTCATTATTCTACTTAATACCATAATTGAATCCTAGGCATAACTAAATTATATCATTACAAAATCCTACCGTAACCAAATCCAGCTGTCAATGGAGCCTTCTTGCTCTGCTGTGACACTGGGTGCCGTAACCTGGTAACAAGCCCTACAACAGATGAATAAAGATGATCTATTAATAAAGTATTGTTAGGTACACTGAGAGCCATTTGGAAATAAATGAATCATGATAACCTTCCTCGCTGAGTACAATGCTCCTATCCCCACCAACATAATGATCCTTATGTGCAGTTACTGTTAACAATGTTTCTCACTGGTGGGTTCTGTCACTGAGAGGCCAGTATTGTGAGTGAGGTTACTGCCAGTTAATGCCCACCCTTAAGTCTACCCTGTTCCTTTTAAAGAGGGGGTGGAGGTCTTGGTGTAGTTGTTGGAAATGGGGACGTCATGTCCTTTATCCAAAATGGGAGAGAGATCCTGCTGACACAAGTGAAAGGCAGTGTGTGAGCAAATTTTATTGATTTTGATGAGATTCCCCACCTCATTCTTCTAAACTCTATATTCTAAAATTGACACAGCATGAAGTAGAGCCTTGGGTGGGAGGGGAATACAGGTGGAGGGAGATATAAGGAAGTGACCAAAGCTGATCATATCTGATGGATAGGATGGGACATGCAAGAACATGTCAGAAGGCAAAGTCAAAAAGTCTTGTTGATGGTCCTATGCTGTTGGTGCAAGCAAAAGACGATGTAGCTTCCGTCTCTGACTCCTTCCTTCCCTTCCTCCACATCTCTGTCTCCATTTATGGGGATAAGCAGGCCACTATTATCCACTAAAAACTCACTGACTCCCACAGTTACTTTAACTACACATCCTCACACCCTGTTTCCTGTAAAGACTCCATTGCATTCTCCCAGTTCCACTATCTCCGTTGCATCTGTTCTGATGATGCCAATTTCAACAAGGGAGCCTCTGAAATGTCCACCTTCTTCCTCAGCTAAGGATTCCCCAGCACTGTTGTTGACAGGGCCCTCAGTCACGTGTGATCTATTTCCTGCACTTTGGCTCTCAACCCCTCTCTTCCCTCCCGCAACAGCGATGGGACCCCCTTGTCCTCACCTACCACCCTAACAGCCAAAGGATCATTAGCAACCATTTCTGCCACCTCCAGCAAGATGCTACTACCAGACAGATATTTCCCACCCTTCCCTTGCCAACCTTCTGCAGAGACTGTTCCCTCCAGGACACCCTGCTCCACTCTTCCTTCACTCTTCCTTCTTTCTCACATGTCCTTACCCCAACCCCTACACACCAGGCCTTGATATCACAGTCTGCCATTACACACAACCCATTGATAGCCACTAAACAGTCCCCAATTACAGCTATTCACCCTCCTAGCCAGATTGTTATCCACTCCTTTGTCTGTCCAACTGTTCTTCTCTCTCTTTGGGCTCTATCTCCACCTATTGTTTACTCCTTACTCCCTCCTCCCTCCTCCCACCCTATCTTCTGCATATAAACTGACATTTTCCCAGCTACCATCAGTTCTGAGGAAGGGTCACTCGACCCAAAACATTAACTCTGATTTCTCTCCACAGCTGCTACCAGACCTGCTGAGCTTTTCCAGCGATTTCTATTTTTGTTAGGAGTATCCTGCTGTGGAACCCATGCTGCACTGTGCAAGGTCAAGTGAGGGTTTAGCTCCAAAGTGTCACCGGTGTCATCAAATCAGCATTAATGCTGATACTGGTCAATACCTACCTGCTCTGCATGCACCAAGTGGATATTCACCCAAGACCTACCCGCTCTGCAAACACCCAATGGATATTCACCATCTAGCTATCTACTCTGCAGACATCATTGGATATTCATTGCTTGCATGCAAACAGCTGAACTGAATGGTGTTCAGCTTGATTTTCACCCACAACCAGCCCAGAGTGTGCACTCACACCCCACTTTGGAGCTCTGAGGGTGCTTGTAATACCCAAAAGCAGATACTACCCAACCACATTTCAATCTAAGTCTGGGCAACCAGGATCAGATCACAGAGCTAGGTCCCTGCTGCCGCAGTAACCAGTGTGTGTAAGTTAACATGTGGTCGGTGCTGTTACCGATTGCCTCACTGGACATTATACATCTCCAGTACTTGAAAACAAAGCAGCGAGGAAACATAATCAATCGAGCCTGATCTCTAATCCGGTAATTCCCTCTGCTGACCCCTACTCCTCCTGACCCTCCTCCAAGACAGGCCATACCTGCTGCGTTGTGCTGGTGATAGTTGATCAGTTCTGGAATTGAATTGAAGGTGTGTTTCTCCGCAAGGTAGTACTGGTTGGACGGTGTCACACACACTGTGTAGTGTTTGACTTTTCCACTCTGATCCCTGGTGTAAAAGAGAGCACAGCATGAAGTTAGCTGCAATACTTTAGTTTCATTTCAGTCAAAAGATCTTATTAAAACCAGTTCCACCACTTATATCATAAGGAATCAGGAGCATCTTGGAATACTCCCCATTTGCCTAGATGGATGCAGCTCCAACAACTCTGAAGAAGCTTGACACCATCTAAGACAAAGCAGACCACTTGATTGGTATCCTATCCACAAGCTTTCACTCCCTCCACCCACTGACACTCAGTAGCAGCAGTGTGTACCATTTACAAGATGCACTGCAGAAATTCACCAAAGATTCCTTAGACAGCCCCTTCCAAACTAAGGACCTCTTCCATCTCAAAGGACAAGGGCAGCAGATACATGGGAACACCACCACCTGAAAGTACTCTCCAAACCACTCACCATCCTGACTTGGAAATATAACACTGTTCTTCACTGTCACTAGGTCAGAATCCTGGAACTCCCTCGCTAACAGATTTATTGGTTTACCTACAGCACATGGACTACAGCGGTTCAAGAAGGCAGCTCACCACCACCTCCTCAAGGACAAATAGGGTTAGGCAGTAAATGCTGGCCAGCCAATGAGATCCATGTCTCATGAATGAATAAGAAAAGAAAATGTAATTCTGTCTTTCAACTAATAACTGGTTATGGGTTCATCAACCACTAAAGACACATCCTCTTTATTTGTTATATCAACCCTTCCTAAGTTTTGAACAAATCTTTCCTGGATTGCTTCTGTTCAGAAGACTGCAAATCCAGTCTCTTCTAAGAACTGAAATCTTTCATTGCTGATAGCAGACTAGTAAGTCACTTCTGCACCCCTTCCAAGCCTTGACCTCCTTTCTGAGGCATTCTGCTCAGAACTGATCACAACACTTCCAGTTGAGGCCAAACCAATGTTTTATTAAAGTCTGACATGAGTTCAGAAAAATGCTGAAGCGTTCAACGTATCAGACAGCATTTTTTGGACAGTGAAAGAGTGTCAATGTTTATTGTCAATTACCTTTCTTCAGAGGATCAGAGGACAGAAATGTAACAGGTTTTGAGTGTGTAAAGAGAGGGGAACAATTGAAGAGAAGGTCTACCAGCTGAGAGATTAACTGACAGACAATGTTATGGTACAGAAGGCACAGGGAGTGATAGATGGTTGTAGTTAAGAAACAAGAAAAATTTGCTCAAAGTGGGTATGAATGGCAGAAAAAGGAACAGTTGTATCTGTAACATATAAATCAAGATTACAACTGGCTAATGCAAAAATAAAAGAAACAAAATGGTGTGGCAGAGTTCACAGTCTGGAGTTGTTGAATTCAGCATTGAGTGCAGAAGGCTGCAAAGTGGTCTAATTGGGAGATAAGATGCTGTTCGTCTAGCAACAGTGGGATAGAATAGAATAGAATTGAATAGCAATTTATTGTCATTTGTATTTATGAAAATACAATGAGTGTATTAATCACCACAATTCAGCATCATTTTAATTACAGAAATTATAAAATGAAATAATTGAGACGAAGGTTTTGCAGTAGATTTGTAGCTCGGGTTGTGGATGTTGAGGTTGGTTGGCTTGCCGAGCTCGTTTCTTGTTTCGCAGATGTTTCGTTACCATGCTTGGTAACATCCTCAGTGCAGCCTCCGCTGAAGCGTCGGTGTGTTTTCCCACCTGGTTTTTAAACTCTGGGGTCCGGTGAGACGGATTGCCTCACTTCCAGTTTTCCTTCGTAGTGGAATGTAAATGGGGTCGAGTTCAATTTGTTTATTAATAGCATGCTTCGTGGAGTGCCATGCTTCTAGGAATTCTCGTGCCTGTCTCTGCCTAGCCTGTCCCAGGACCTTGGTGTTGTCCTCGTCGAAGTGGTGGTTCTCCTTGTCCATGTGGATTGAGATGAGTGAGTATTGGTTGTGTCTTTTTGTAGCCAGTTGGTGTTCATGTACTCTTGTTGTTAGTTTCCTTCCTGTTTTTCCGATGTAGTGTTTCTCGTAGTCTCTGCTGGGAATCTTGTAGCTCACCCGAACTAAGGACCCACTCCCCGCCATGGACAGGACCAATGTCATCTCTGCCTTAAAAATATTTAAACATTCTCCATCCACTGCCTTTTGAGGAAGGAGTTTCAAAGATTGACAACCCATTGAGAGACAAAAAAATTTTATGATTAAAAACTGAAAGAACTGCGGATGCTATAAATCAGGAACAAAAACAAAGTTGCTGGAAATGCTCAGCAGGTCT